AATGCGATTATGTATATGACTTTTAAGTTAACAATTGCATAGTTAATTCGAAATTTCAGAATAAACTTCAAAACATGTTCAGAACCGCCAATATTGTAAGTAGTCAATTAAGGTAGGCTGTAATGAATCAAACAAGAACCCATTACTTAGTGAAATATTCATCAAAAACTAGGGTCTCAAAGGTTCCGAGTCGCAAATTAGTTTACATTTCTAACGCGGAATACACTGGAGCCGAGGCAAGCCGCGCACCGAACGAGGCAGCCTCAGCCGTTACCACCGAGAAAATTTAAGGTCAGTTTTCCAACGACTCAGAAATTCAAAATTTAAAATACAGCTCGACAAATCAGAATTCCTTCGTAAAGAAGTAGCTTATCTCGGACATGTAGTCACACCAGACGGCGTTAAGCCAAATCTAGATAAAATTATTGCCATCCAAAAATTTCCGATTCCAAAAATGAAAGATTAAAAGCTTTCTCGGACTTATTGGTTACTATAGACGTTTTATAAAAGATTTTGCGAAACTCACAAAGCCTCTAACTAAATGTCTAAAAAAGGGAGCCAAAATTGAACACGATGCTGAATTTATTGACTGTTTCGAAAAATGTAAAAATGTTCTTATGAATGAACCGATACTCAAGTATCCAGACTTTTCTAAGCCACGGATGCGAGCAACGTAGCCCTTGGTTGTGTACTTTCACAAAGCCCTATAGGACAGGATCTTCCTATCGCCTATGCTTAGCGCACGCTTAATGATTCCGAACGAAATTATAGTACGATTGAGAAAGAATTACTAGCAATAGTCTGGGCGACTAAATACTTTCGGCCCTATCTTCTGGAGAAAATTCAATCTAATTACTGATCATATGCCCTTAAAATACTTATGGTCCCTTCGAGACCCTTTTTCAAAATTACTAAGAATGGAAAATCAGGTTAGACGAGTATGACATGAATATCGTCTATAAGAAAGGCAAACTGAATACCAATGCAGATTCCCTGTCTCGTGTAGAGATCCACACAAAAGAAACCAGTTCATTTTGGAACGACTTAGATGATTTGATTCAAGAATGCGCGGGTACTCAACACCAAAACGTTAAGTTTGACCGACCAGTTCAGAAAGGCTCATCTGAATTAAGTACACCTACATTTTAACTTTTCTACCCCAAAACCACCTGATACCGAATGTATGTTCGTATACGTCGATAATGACGAAGACAGTCTTTTTATTCAACCCCCAGACGAAATTGTAGATATCATTGAAAATGAACAGGTCAATCTAGAATATCAAAAAAACGTACAATTTTCAGAAAATGATTTTGACGATGATGTATGAAATTTATTCGAGATTATATTGCTCCTAACGTGATTTATCACTTATACTTTGAAAATCAAGATATATATGAAATTTTCTGTTGTTCTACAAAGGATGTTTAAGTCCGATACTTTGAAATTCAAAATGTAGAACCAAATTAGTCGACGTTACAGATAAAACTGATACCAAGGACATTATTCAGAATTACCACGAAAGCAAGTCGAATTCAAACATTTATAAATGAATGTGAAATATCGATACTTTCACTTTTGAAGAGTCAAAATTTCTCACAATTATAGACAGTTTTTCTAAATATGCTCAAGCATATCATATCATTTCAGTACTCCAGGATATAGAAAACTCACTTACTTTTGCAAAAGTGGGAATTATGCACCCCAGTATATTCAAACCAAAACATTTACTTCAAGCTCTAAATTCAGTGGTATTAAACCTATCCACAAGACAACTCCCTTTAGAAGTTACTTTGAATAATATTCCAATTTTTGAAAAGCTCATTAAAATCAGCTGTTATACAGTTGATAGAAAAATAACATACATTCTTCAAATTCCTATTGTTCATACATTCCAATTTGATTATTATCACTTATATTCAATTCCAACTTTTCATAAGGGTCTGTAAAGAATGAGTTGTACTTCGCTTTTGCCGGAGACGCATGCACGGAAACGGTCGCAGAATAGTACGTTTGCAAGAAACTAGATTTAAGAAGAATCAAAGAATCCAATCCCTGTGAAGTTCAACTCCTGGAACAAAAAACTCCCACTACCTGCCGAGAAGTAGAAGCCGTAATCACAGAGCCAGTAATGAAGAAACTGCATGATTTCGGACAATGGATCTTGCTTATACCCAATGAAACCACCATTACATTAAGCTGTCAAGAAGGCCAAGAAACAGTCAAAGTTTTGGGATCCTACTTAACCGAAATTACAGTCGGTTGTACACTGGAACTAAATCAAGGCCTGATCGCCAATTAAGAACCTATATCGATTCGAAGTCAGCCAATTATTTTTCCAAATATATCGATACCAATTGCTACCAAGGCGAATGACTTCAGCCTTCATCTGGACCAAATAGAATTTGATGAAGTTCACAAAATAAAAAGAAGATTAATAGAAAATCGTGTTGACATCCATTCACATAAGCTGTCGCACATTCTCAGTTCTTGGACAATCCTGTTGTATGGAGTACTGCTGCTGCTACTTTGCTGTTTTGTCTACAAGATCATTCCAAAGATTTTTACTAAGCCGAAGAAACCACAAAGAACCCCTATTGAAGAAGTTGATATTTCCAATGTGCAACTTCCTCGTTAACCCTCGAAGTTCCATCTACAAGGGGAGGCGTTATAGTACAGAAGATTTACCCCTACCACTAAAGAAGAGGATCGAGTTTCCCTGGATCAGCACTTTGCCTTATCCAGTCTTATTTTATTGCATTCACAGTTAGTTAGTCTGTTGTTAGCGCTCATACTATATACATCAATAGAATTGTATTTTGATAATCGAAAATAAATCTTTTTAAAAAGCAAGTAGACTGACTCGGTCAGATAATTCGTGCTAAATTTGGAGCAGACATTCGAGCAAACTGGATCCGTCGCTAACATCAAAGCCGCTAGGCATGCCTAGTAGAGGTCGAACGGAATACAATGTTGGCGAAAGTGTGGCCAAAAATCCAAGAACATCGATTCGTCATCGATCGCAGCAACTGACCTTATATTTTCCACTACACAGCGGATTTCAACAAAAGATTCGCAGTTACACCCATTCAGATTCCAAATAACACAGGAATTGAAGCCTAGGGATCAACAACAGCGCCGTGTGTTTGCCGAATTGATAAGAGAACAAGGGGCAAATTTTCCAATGAAAATAATCTTTAGCGGTAAGGCACATTTCCACATCGAGGGCTTCGTAAACACACACAATTGCCGTATTCTGGAATGGGAAAATCCAAGACAGATTGTTGAAGTCAAAATGTATCCTCAAAAGGTGACTGTTTGGTGTGCCTTTTGGTCCGGAGGCGTTATTGGACCATTTTTTTTTTTGAGGATGTTACGGTTAATGGCGTTCGCTATCGGAACACGATAACAGAGTTTTTCTGGGAACAGTTGGAAGATATGGACATCGAAGATCTCTGGTTTCAACAGAACGGTGCCACCTGTCACACATCAGGAGAAACGATACAATTACAGCGCGTCAAGTTTCCAGGTCGCGTTATTTCACGTAACGTCGATATCAATTGGCCGTAGCGATCCTGTGATTTAACTTCCTTAGATTATTTTCTTTGGGTATTTCAAGAGCAAAGTCTACAAGAATAACAAGAATAACCCGAACACCATTGAGGAGCTGAAACAGGAGATAGGACGCGAAATTACCAACGTCATGCCACATGAGCCGCGGCGGTCATTTACTTGATATCATCTTTCATTCATAATTGTAATGAACGACCATCAAAGAGCAAATAAATATTTTTTTATAATGTTCAATTTCTTGTTTTTTTAAAATACTTTTAATGTGGAAACTCAATTTGAATCACCCATTATATGTCAGCCAAATTCGGAATAAAATCTACTAAAGCAGATCCCCTACTATAAGAAACCCGTTAGAAATCATATTCCTAAAACAAAAATGTAAGAAGTAATGCTTATAATTCAATATTCAATGGCCTTCATTTCATTCATAGACTTGGTATAGAATGATATAGCCTGAAATAAATTTAGAGCCTCACGTAGAATCTAATGCCACTATTTTGAAAATATTCAAGCTGAATTGCTACAATCAGTTACTACAAGCCCAAATTTCCAAATCTCTGTTACGCCAACTTTAAGTAATCGATCGCTGCAGTTCTATGTGTATAGATTTCACCCCCCTAAGGGACAGATTTCCAATAATGGCGACCAACGAATTTTTTATGTATTTGGAGAGTATTTGTACAAATTTACAAGTAAATCCATTGAAATAAAAAGTTGAATGCGCACTCCCACCCCCCCATTTTACACCCTTAGGGGAAGAATTTCCAATAATCCCTTTTTAGTGTTAACTTATGCTTCATGAAACCTCCCTGCAAAATTTCAACAGTGACAGCTCTGGATTATTATGTCGGTCAGTGAATAAATTGGTGAGTCAGCGTCCTCTTTCATCTAATATAGAGATGACAAAAAAAATAAAAATAGAATTCTATAAAAATTTCACAGCTGCGAAATCATTATTTTGACTGAAAATTTTATAACATTTTCAGTCATATTTATACATCATACAATAAAATTCAAATTCTTGTTTTTATCATATCTTCAAATATATTTTTAAATATAAATAAAAAAATTCGCTTGAACTAGGTCAGTAGTTATATGTATACTAATTAATTTAAGTTTCAACAACAATATTTAAACGGTTTCACTGAGAGCAGGTAAACTAATTTTAAATAAAATGATGTAAGCAATAGTTTAACTTTAATTGAGTGATTGAGTTTAGACTAATTTGATAGATGCATGTTCTGAGAAATGGGGAATATTTTTGCTAGCTGTCACTTAGTAAATTTTCCAAATCGTTTAAGTAAAATTTTATTTAGTTGTATTGACCTATTTGGTCAGTGCATGATTAAAGATGTTAATTTGTGAAGTAGTACTAGTTCTTAAAGTATTTTTTATAATTACAATACTACGATAATATAGTTACTTACCAAAAAACGGCCCCTCTGTTTTCTTCTCAGCTATGTTCTCAACGGCCGCCTATCAAAAAAGGGAGAGCATTTCAAGAACAGTTCAAAATGGGGTAGATACATATACATACATATACGTACATACACACTCACACACACACACTATATATATATATATATATATATATATGAAAGGATCATGCGAAAGGATATAATATATAGAAAAATAATGTGCAAAACCCGCAAAAAACGGAAGTTTTTCTCCGTAGGCCTGAAGAGTTTAGCAAGAATTTCCGTTGCACTGTGCCCAAGTCTCAAGCACAACCTGGTAGCACACCGTTGCTCGAAATTGATGTCATTCATTTTTAGACCACAGTAGGAAAAATTATTTGATAAAAAACTCGCTACGGACAACCAAATGACTCGAGCGAGTTCAAACTTGTCCTTAAGGCGGATCACATGTTGCCCTGTCTCACCTCCAAGCTACGGTACCAGTCTCAACACTTAATTTACAGACATCGACAGAGTTTTTTACCGCCCGCCAAATTGATTCCTAGCACCACACGCGTTTTGATAGCTATATTATAAACTACCACCTTGAGAGGAAGGGTAAACTCATCCTAAGATGCTATGACGGGGTACTAAGTACTCACCGTGCTATTAGTATTGACGTTATATGCAAAAATTGCATAAACTAGACACGTGCTGAATAAGGTATATTGGCTTTCTTGGCTCTGCGACCGAAGCCAAGTGTGTATACACATTTTTTCATGCTTTTTAGTAATTATCGGTACGGTATAGGTGAGAGAAATTGAGACAAATTGACGAAACTGCTCATAGGTGGCGTTTGGTTTATTTTTCGCACATTACAACATCGAGTTTTTCAAAAGATTCATTTCTCTTGCTTGCTTTACGTCATCAGTATCCAAATGATTAGACCGGTACCGTACTACTAATTGCTAACAAACATGAAACAACGATATATACGGTTGGCTATGGTCGCACAGACAGAAAGCAAACAGATCCTATTCAGCTTGAACCTAGACTATTTCAAATTAAGTCAGCTCTAGAAGTGAAAGTATGTTTTGTCCATAATTGTATCTTTAAAATATGAATGAATGTTAACAAAGAATCCTAGAAATAATATCCTCAATATGGGGTAGAAGAGAGTTGAATATTCCTATGGGGAGTCGTACAATTCTTCAAGTTAAATTTTTAGAAAATTATTCGACCTACGAACATAAGTTCGTAAGTATTGGAATCTTAACAACAAACAATACATCATGTGGAAAAATATTACCAAGTGGTTTTAAGAACGACCGATTCAATTCCGTTGGCATATTCGATCTTTCGAAATGAAAGTTGCTTTAGATTCGGCACAATATACTATAATGGTATATCAATTTGAATATTAAAAGCCAGTAAAATGCGTATTTCGTCTCTTAGATGTCGACTTTCCTATCAAATGTCAAAAACTCACCTCGTCCCATTCTCTAGGATATCTCCTTTTGAGGGAGGTTGCAGCGGCGACAGCAGTTTCTTTATCCTAGAAAAAAATAACCTAATATGGTTACCTGTTCTGGAGTATTTAACCCCCATATTGGCTAGAAGACGCACTAGACATTATTCATGTTGTAACAAAAACATACGCATATTCCACGGAATGTAGGTACCGTTACGCCAACAACTACTACATATGCTCACAATTAACTTATCATGTGGTTTTCATGCTGATAAAACTCCATGTTTCACACTGGCCTCAAAATGAAACCATATAAGTAGGATCTTCTCTACTAACGTCTCGGCCACCTTGATGACTTTTTTGAAGTACAAGTTAAATTTCAATTTTCGATACGGACCGTCAGACAAATATGCAGTTTTAACCTGCTGGCACGGGGTCAAGGGGTTGGTGTGGCCCTCATGAGATATCGAAAATTAATACCTATTCCATCCAGTTGCCCTATCACGCTAATCCTGGAGGGTCTAGGCTAGAGTCCCGAATACTCTCAGGTGACGGGCAACAGCATTACCAGTATCAGTGCCAGTTCTCAAGAATCTCTTTTTAGGGAATAGTACTGAACATTCGAATCGATATGAGGACCCCCACAAGCCAAAATGGTATACTCGTATATTCCGTGATGAGGGCTGAATGCCGGGTGAAATGGTGTCTTAAAGGGAGCCTCCTAGGAATCAAATTGCCTCTTATCCTCCTGATAGATCAGTGGGAGGTACTCGTGGGAAAAGCTGGACCACAAAAAAAAGTAGAAGAGAGGAGGAAAACAGATGGAACTCTTGAAGAAGATACCGACATGAAAGCTGAAATTCACGACACGACAGTGGGATATGATCGCAGAAGAAAGAATGAAGAAAGCTTTTAGGAGCCCAAAGGATTAAGATCGTGAAAGCTAGGAAACTGGCAGGTGGGACTTTAACGGATCAAAATCAGTGGCAAATGCTTAGAAATTCATCTCGATAACTATTTGACCTACGAACATGAAGTTCGTATACATTGGAATCTTGCCACCAGGGAAAACATCTTGGATAAAATATGACTGAAGTAGTTTTTGGAATGACTGATTCAATTCCGTTGACATTTTCATCATTCCACATGAGAATTTCTTTAGGTACGGCACAATTTTCTATAAATAAGAGTATGTCAATTCGAATACTAACAGCCTGTAAAATGCGTATTTCGTTTCTAATATGTCGATTTTCCTATCAAATGTGAAAAACTCAGCTCGTTCCATTCCTCCAGCAATCTCCTTTTTCGAGGGGAGGTGGTGATGACAGCCGTAGCGACAGTACCCTAAAAAAACCGATTATGGTTACTGTCATCAAGTTTTTAACCCCCATATTGATAAAAACATACGGATATTCCACCGAATATTTGCGAACGTACCGTGACGCCGCTGAGGGCTGAATGGCACAGGGTGAAAACGGTGTCTTGAACAAAGCTTTCTTATCCTTCGAATAGATCACTGGAAGAATGGACTGTTGCAACGTGGGAATAAGATGGACCAGAGAAAAAAAAACAAACTGAAGAGAGGTTGGAATCGGAGAGGGACCCGAACTTTTCGGAGAGAACTCTTGAGGACGAAACTGTCGTGGAAGTTAATTTAGGGCAAGACAGTGGGATGGGACCGCAGAATGGAGAAAGCTTCCAGGAGTCCTAAGGAAGATGGCGAAGGCTAGGAAATTGACAGATGGGACTTGGACGGATCAAGATTCGTGCAAAAAGGACCCACGTCAAATGTTAGAAATTCATCTCGACAACTATTTGACCTACGAAGATGAAGTTCATATGTATTGAAATCTTGACACCAAAGAAAAGGTCTTGGAAAAATATGAATGAAGCGGTTTTTGGAACGACCGATTCAATTCCGTTGGCATATTCCATGAATTCAGATGAAAATTTGGGTATGGCACAATTTTTCATAAGAGCGTATCAATTTGAATAATAACAGCGAGTAAAATCCGTATTTTTTCTCTTAAATGTCGATTTTCCTATCAAATGTCAAAACTCACCTCATCGCGTTTCTTGGCCGGTCTTCCTCTCCTGCGAGGAGCTGCGGCGACATCCCAAGGAGTTTCCTTAACCTAGTAATAAAAAAATAAAATGAAACAAATGATTATGGTTACCTGGCCTCAGGTATTTAACCGCATATTGTTTAGATTATTATTCATGTTGTACCAAAAACATAAACATATTCACCCAATCACTTATGCTCACAATTAACTTATCCTGTGGTTTTCATGCTGATAAAACTCCATGTTTCACACTGGCCTCAAAATGAAACCATATAAGTAGGATCTTTCTTCTCTACTAACGTCTCGGCCACCTTGATAACTTTTTTGAAGTACAAGTTAAATTTCAATTTTCGATACGGACCGTCAGACAAATATGCAGTTTTAACCTGCTGGCACGGGGTCAAGGGGATGGTGTGGCCCTCATGAGATATCGAAAATTAATACCTATTCCATCCAGTTGCCCTATCACGCTAATCCTGGAGGGTCTAGGCTAGAGTCCCGAATACTCTCAGGTGACGGGCAACAGTATTACCAGTATCAGTGCCAGTTCTCAAGAATCTCTTTTTAGGGAATAGTACTGAACATTCGAATCGATATGAGGACCCCCACAAGCCAAAATGGTATACTCGTATTCGTGATGAGGGCTAAATGCCGGGTGAAATGGTGTCCTAAAGGGAGCCTCCTAGGAATCAAATTGCCTCTTATCCTCCTGATAGATCAGTGGGAGGTACTCGTGGGAAAAGCTGGACCACATAAAAAAGTAGACGAGAGGAGGAAAACAGATGGAACTCTTGAAGAAGATACCGACATGAAGCTGAAATTCACGACACGACAGTGGGATATGATCGTAGAAGAAAGAATGAAGAAAGCTTTTAGGAGCCCAAAGGATTAAGATCGTGAAAGCTAGGAAACTGGCAGGTGGGACTTTAACGGATCAAAATCCGTGGCAAATGCTTAGAAATTCATCTCGATAACTATTTGACCTACGAACATGAAGTTCGTATACATTGGAATCTTGCCACCAGGGAAAACATCTTGGATAAAATATGACTGAAGTAGATTTTGGAATGACTGATTCAATTCCGTTGACATTTTCATCATTCCACATGAGAATTTCTTTAGGTACGGCACAATTTTCTATAAATAAGAGTATGTCAATTCGAATACTAACAGCCTGTAAAATGAGTATTTCGTTTCTAATATGTCGATTTTCCTATCAAATGTGAAAAACTCAGCTCGTTCCATTCCTCCAGCAATCTCCTTTTTCGAGGGGAGGTGGTGATGACAGCCGTAGCGACAGTACCCTAAAAAAAACCGATTATGGTTACTGTCATCAAGTTTTTAACCCCCATATTGATAAAAACATACGGATATTCCACCGAATATTTGCGAACGTACCGTGACGCCGCTGAGGGCTGAATGGCACAGGGTGAAAACGGTGTCTTGAACAGAGCTTTCTTATCCTTCGAATTGATCACTGGAAGAATGGACTGTTGCAACGTGGGAATAAGATGGACCAGAGAAAAAAACAAACTGAAGAGAGGTTGGAATCGGAGAGGGACCCGAACTTTTCGTAGAGAACTCTTGAGGACGAAACTGTCGTGGAAGTTAATTTAGGGCAAGACAGTGGGATGGGACCGCAGAATGGAGAAGGCTTCCAGAAGTCCTAAGGAAGATGGCGAAGGCTAGGAAATTGACAGATGGGACTTGGACGGATCAAGATTCGTGCAAAAAGGACCCACGTCAAATGTTAGAAATTCATCTCGACAACTATTTGACCTACGAAGATGAAGTTCATATGTATTGAAATCTTGACACCAAAGAAAAGGTCTTGGAAAAATATGAATGAAGCGGTTTTTGGAACGACCGATTCAATTCCGTTGGCATATTCCATGAATTCAGATGAAAATTTGGGTATGGCACAATTTTTCATAAGAGCGTATCAATTTGAATAATAACAGCGAGTAAAATCCGTATTTTTTCTCTTAAATGTCGATTTTCCTATCAAATGTCAAAACTCACCTCATCGCGTTTCTTGGCCGGTCTTCCTCTCCTGCGAGGAGCTGCGGCGGCATCCGCGGAGTTTCCTTAACCTAGTAATAAAAAAATAAAATGAAACAAATGATTATGGTTACCTGGCCTCAGGTATTTAACCGCGTATTGTTTAGATTATTATTCATGTTGTACCAAAAACATAAGCATATTCCACCCAATCACTTATGCTCACAATTAACTTATCCTGTGGTTTTCATGCTGATAAAACTCCATGTTTCACACTGGCCTCAAAATGAAACCATATAAGTAGGATCTTTCTTCTCTACTAACGTCTCGGCCACCTTGATAACTTTTTTGAAGTACAAGTTAAATTTCAATTTTCGATACGGACCGTCAGACAAATATGCAGTTTTAACCTGCTGGCACGGGGTCAAGGGGTTGGTGTGGCCCTCATGAGATATCGAAAATTAATACCTATTCCATCCAGTTGCCCTATCACGCTAATCCTGGAGGGTCTAGGCTAGAGTCCCGAATACTCTCAGGTGACGGGCAACAGTATTACCAGTATCAGTGCCAGTTCTCAAGAATCTCTTTTTAGGGAATAGTACTGAACATTCGAATCGATATGAGGACCCCCACAAGCCAAAATGGTATATATTGTGATGAGGGCTAAATGCCGGGTGAAACGGTGTCCTAAAGGGAGCCTCCTAGGAATCAAATTGCCTCTTATCCTCCTGATAGATCAGTGGGAGGTACTCGGGGGAAAAGCTGGACCACATAAAAAAGTAGACGAGAGGAGGAAAACAGATGGAACTCTTGAAGAAGATACCGACATGAAGCTGAAATTCACGACACGACAGTGGGATATGATCGTAGAAGAAAGAATGAAGAAAGGTTTTTGGAGCCCAAAGGATTAAGATCGTGAAAGCTAGGAAACTGGCAGGTGGGACTTTAACGGATCAAAATCCGTGGCAAATGCTTAGAAATTCATCTCGATAACTATTTGACCTACGAACATGAAGTTCGTATACATTGGAAACTTGCCACCAGGGAAAACATCTTGGAGAAAATATGACTGAAGTAGTTTTTGGAATGACTGATTCAATTCCGTTGGCATATTCATCATTCCACATGAGAATTGCTTTAGGTACGGCACAATTTTCTATAAATAAGAGTATATCAATTCGAATACTAGCAGCCTGTAAAATGCGTATTTCGTTTCTAATATGTCGATTGTCCTATCAAATGTCAAAAACGTTCCATTCCTCCGGCAATCTCCTTTTTCGAGGGGGGGTGGGTGGTGATGACAGCCGTAGCGACAGTACCCAAAAAAAACCGATTATGATTACTGCCCTCAAGTTTTTAACCCCCATATTGATAAAGACATACGGATATTCCACCGAATATTTGCGAACGTACCGTGACGCCACTGGGGGCTGAATGGCACAGGGTGAAAACGGTGTCTTGAACAGAAATTTCTTATCCTCCGAATAGATCACTGGAAGAATGGACTGTTGCAACTCGGTACTCGTGGGAATAAGATGGACCATAGAAAAAACAAAATGAAGAGAGGTTGGAATCGGAGAGGGACCCGAACTTTTCTTAGAGAACTCTTGAGGACGAAACTGTCGTGGAAGTTAATTTAGGGCAAGACAGTGGGATGGGACCGCAGAATGGAGAAAGCTTCCAGAAGCCCTAAGGAAGATGGCGAAGGCTAGGAAATTGACAGATGGGACTTGGACGGATCAAGATTCGTGCAAAAAGGACCCACGTCAAATGTTAGAAATTCATCTCGACAACTATTTGACCTACGAAGATGAAGTTCATATGTATTGAAATCTTGACACCAAAGAAAAGGTCTTGGAAAAATATGAATGAAGCGGTTTTTGGAACGACCGATTCAATTCCGTTGGCATATTCCATGAATCCAGATGAAAAGTTGGGTATGGCACAATTTTTCATAAGAGCGTATCAATTTGAATAATAACAGCGAGTAAAATCCGTATTTTTTCTCTTAAATGTCGATTTTCCTATCAAATGTCAAAACTCACCTCATCGCGTTTCTTGGCCGGTCTTCCTCTCCTGCGAGGAGCTGCGGCGGCATCCGGCGGAGTTTCCTTAACCTAGTAATAAAAAAATAAAATTAAACAAATGATTATGGTTACCTGGCCTCAGGTATTTAACCGCATATTGTTTAGATTATTATTCATGTTGTACCAAAAACATAAACATATTCCACCCAATCACTTATGCTCACAAATAACTTATCCTGTGGTTTTCATGCTGATAAAACTCCATGTTTCACACTGGCCTCAAAATGAAACCATATAAGTAGGATCTTTCTTCTCTACTACGTCTCGGCCACCTTGATAACTTTTTTGAAGTACAAGTTAAATTTCAATTTTCGATACGGACCGTCAGACAAATATGCAGTTTTAACCTGCTGGCACGGGGTCAAGGGGTTGGTGTGGCCCTCATGAGATATCGAAAATTAATACCTATTCCATCCAGTTGCCCTATCACGCTAATCCTGGAGGGTCTAGGCTAGAGTCCCGAATACTCTCAGGTGACGGGCAACAGTATTACCAGTATCAGTGCCAGTTCTCAAGAATCTCTTTTTAGGGAATAGTACTGAACATTCGAATCGATATGAGGACCCCCACAAGCCAAAATGGTATATATTGTGATGAGGGCTAAATGCCGGGTGAAACGGTGTCCTAAAGGGAGCCTCCTAGGAATCAAATTGCCTCTTATCCTCCTGATAGATCAGTGGGAGGTACTCGTGGGAAAAGCTGGACCACAAAAAAAGTAGAAGAGAGGAGGAAAACAGATGGAACTCTTGAAGAAGATACCGACATGAAGCTGAAATTCACGACACGACAGTGGGATATGATCGTAGAAGAAAGAATGAAGAAAGGTTTTTGGAGCCCAAAGGATTAAGATCGTGAAAGCTAGGAAACTGGCAGGTGGGACTTTAACGGATCAAAATCCGTGGCAAATGCTTAGAAATTCATCTCGATAACTATTTGACCTACGAACATAAGTTCGTATACATTGGAAACTTGCCACCAGGGAAAACATCTTGGAGAAAATATGACTGAAGTAGTTTTTGGAATGACTGATTCAATTCCGTTGGCATATTCATCATTCCACATGAGAATTGCTTTAGGTACGGCACAATTTTCTATAAATAAGAGTATGTCAATTCGAATACTAGCAGCCTGTAAAATGCGTATTTCGTTTCTAATATGTCGATTGTCCTATCAAATGTCAAAAACGTTCCATTCCTCCGGCAATCTCCTTTTTCGAGGGGGGGTGGGTGGTGATGACAGCCGTAGCGACAGTACCCAAAAAAAACCGATTATGATTACTGCCCTCAAGTTTTTAACCCCCATATTGATAAAGACATACGGATATTCCACCGAATATTTGCGAACGTACCGTGACGCCACTGGGGGCTGAATGGCACAGGGTGAAAACGGTGTCTTGAACAGAAATTTCTTATTCTCCGAATAGATCACTGGAAGAATGGACTGTTGCAACTCGGTACTCGTGGGAATAAGATGGACCATAGAAAAAAACAAAATGAAGAGAGGTTGGAATCGGAGAGGGACCCGAACTTTTCTTAGAGAACTCTTGAGGACGAAACTGTCGTGGAAGTTAATTTAGGGCAAGACAGTGGGATGGGACCGCAGAATGGAGAAAGCTTCCAGAAGCCCTAAGGAAGATGGCGAAGGCTAGGAAATTGACAGATGGGACTTGGACGGATCAAGATTCGTGCAAAAAGGACCCACGTCAAATGTTAGAAATTCATCTCGACAACTATTTGACCTACGAAGATGAAGTTCATATGTATTGAAATCTTGACACCAAAGAAAAGGTCTTGGAAAAATATGAATGAAGCGGTTTTTGGAACGACCGATTCAATTCCGTTGGCATATTCCATGAATCCAGATGAAAATTTGGGTATGGCACAATTTTTCATAAGAGCGTATCAATTTGAATAATAACAGCGAGTAAAATCCGTATTTTTTCTCTTAAATGTCGATTTTCCTATCAAATGTCAAAACTCACCTCATCGCGTTTCTTGGCCGGTCTTCCTCTCCTGCGAGGAGCTGCGGCGGCATCCGGCGGAGTTTCCTTAACCTAGTAATAAAAAAATAAAATTAAACAAATGATTATGGTTACCTGGCCTCAGGTATTTAACCGCATATTGTTTAGATTATTATTCATGTTGTACCAAAAACATAAGCATATTCCACCCAATCACTTATGCTCACAAATAACTTATCCTGTGGTTTTCATGCTGATAAAACTCCATGTTTCACACTGGCCTCAAAATGAAACCATATAAGTAGGATCTTTCTTCTCTACTACGTCTCGGCCACCTTGATAACTTTTTTGAAGTACAAGTTAAATTTCAATTTTCGATACGGACCGTCAGACAAATATGCAGTTTTAACCTGCTGGCACGGGGTCAAGGGGTTGGTGTGGCCCTCATGAGATATCGAAAATTAATACCTATTCCATCCAGTTGCCCTATCACGCTAATCCTGGAGGGTCTAGGCTAGAGTCCCGAATACTCTCAGGTGACGGGCAACAGTATTACCAGTATCAGTGCCAGTTCTCAAGAATCTCTTTTTAGGGAATAGTACTGAACATTCGAATCGATATGAGGACCCCCACAAGCCAAAATGGTATATATTGTGATGAGGGCTAAATGCCGGGTGAAACGGTGTCCTAAAGGGAGCCTCCTGGGAATCAAATTGCCTCTTATCCTCCTGATAGATCAGTGGGAGGTACTCGTGGGAAAAGCTGGACCACAAAAAAAGTAGAAGAGAGGAGGAAAACAGATGGAACTCTTGAAGAAGATACCGACATGAAGCTGAAATTCACGACACGACAGTGGGATATGATCGCAGACGAAAGAATGAAGAAAGCTTTTAGGAGCCCAAAGGATTAAGATCGTGAAAGCTAGGAAACTGGCAAGTGGGACTATAACGGATCAAAATCGGTGGCAAATGCTTAGAAATTCATCTCGATAACTATTTGGCCTACGAACATGAAGTTCGTATACATTGGAAACTTGCCACCAGGGAAAACATCTTGGATAAAATATGACTGAAGTAGTTTTTGGAATGACTGATTCAATTCCGTTGGCATATTCGATCATTCCACATGAGAGTTGCTTTAGGTACGGCACAATTTTCTATAAATAAGAGTATGTCAATTCGAATACTAGCAGCCTGTAAAATGCGTATTTCATTTCTAATATGTCGATTTTCCTATCAAATGTCAAAAACGTTCCATTCCTCCGGCAATCTCCTTTTTCGAGGGGGGGTGGTGATGACAGCCGTAGCGACAGTACCAAAAAAAAACGACTATGGTTACTGTCCTCAAGTTTTTAACCCCCATATTGATAAAGACATACGGATATTCTACCGAATATTTGCGAACGTACCGTGACGCCACTGGGGACTGAATGGCAAAGGGTGAAAACGGTGTCTGGAACAGAGCTTTCTTATCCTCCGAATAGATCACTGGAAGAATGGATTGTAGCAACTCAGTACTCGTGGGAATAAGATGGACCAGAGAAAAAAAAACAAAATGAAGAAGAGAGTTTGGAATCGGAGATAAACCCGAAACTGTCGTGGAAGTTAATTTAGGGCTTGGCAGTGGGATGGGACCGCAGAAGAAAGAATGGAGAAAGCTTCCAGGACCCCAAAGGAAGATGGCGAAAGCTAGGAAACTGGCAGATGGGACTTGGACGGATCAGTCCAATTCGTGCAAAAAGGAGCCACGTCAAATGTTAGAAATTCATCTCGATAACTATTTGACCTACGAACATGAAGTTCGTATACATTGGAATCTTGCCACCAGGGAAAACATCTTGGAAAAAATATGACTGAAGTAGTTTTTGGAATGACTGATTCAATTCCGTTGGCATATTCCACATGAGAATTGCTTTAGGTACGGCACAATTTTCTATAAATAAGAGTATGTCAATTCGAATACTAACAGCCTGTAAAATACGTATTTCGTTTCTAATATTTCGATTTTCCTATCAAATGTTAAAAACTTACCTCGTTCCAAAGCTGAAATTCACGACACGACAGTGGGATATGATCGCAGAAGAAAGAATGAAGGAAGCTTTTAGGAGCCCAAAGGATTAAGATCGTGAAAGCTAGGAAACTGGCTGGTGGGACTTTAACGGATCAAAATCCGTGGCAAATGCTTAGAAATTCATCTCGATAACTATTTGACCTACGAACATGAAGTTCGTATACATTGGAATCTTGCCACCAGGGAAAACATCTTGGATAAAATATGACTGAAGTAGTTTTTGGAATGACTGATTCAATTCCGTTGGCATATTCATCATTCCACATGAGAATTGCTTTAGGTACGGCACAATTTTCTATAAATAAGAGTATGTCAATTCGAATACTAGCAGCCTGTAAAATGCGTATTTCATTTCTTATATGTCGATTTTCCTATCAAATGTCAAAAACGTTCCATTCCTCGGGCAATCTCCTTTTTCGAGGAGGGGTGGTGATGACAGCCGTAGCGACAGTACCCAAAAAAAAACCTATAATGGTTACTGTCCTCAAGTTTTTAACCCCCATATTGATAAAGACATACGATTATTCCACCAAATATTTGCGAACGTACCGTGACGCCACTGGGGGCTGAATGGCAAAGGGTGAAAACGGTGTCTGGAACAGAGCTTTCTTATCCTCCGAATAGATCACTGGAAGAAAGGATTGTAGCAACTCGGTACTCGTGGGAATAAGATGGACCAGAGAAAAAAAACAAAATGAAGAAGAGAGGTTGGAATCGGAGATAAACCCGAAACTGTCGTGGAAGTTAATTTAGGGCTTGGCAGTGGGATGGGACCGCAGAAGAAAGAATGGAGAAAGCTTCCAGGACCCCAAAGGAAGATGGCGAAAGCTAGGAAACTGGCAGATGGGACTTGGACGGATCAGTCCAATTCGTGCAAAAAGGACCCACGTCAAATGTTAGAAATTCATCTCGATAACTATTTGACCTACGAACATGAAGTTCGTATACATTGGAATCTTGCCATCAGAGAAAACATCTTGGAGAAAATATGACGATGAAGTAGTTTTTGGAATGGATGATTCAATTCCGTTGGCATATTCGATTATTCCACATGAGAATTGCTTTAGGTACGGCACAATTTTCTATAAATAAGAGTATGTCAATTCGAATACTAACAGCCTGTAAAATGCGTATTTCGTCTCTAATATGTCGATTTTCCTATCAAATGTCAAAACTCACCTCATCGCGTTTCTTGGCCGGTCTTCCTCTCCTGCGAGGAGCTGCGGCGGCATCCCGCGGAGTTTCCTTAACCTAGTAATAAAATAATAAAATGAAACAAATGATTATGGTTACCTGGCCTCAGGTATTTAACCGCATATTGTTTAGATTATTATTCATGTTGTATCAAAAACATAATCATATTCCACCCAATCACTTATGCTCACAATTAACTTATCCTGTGGGTTTCGTGCTGATAAAACTCCATGTCCAATGAAACCACATATGTAGGAATTACGTCGTCTCAACAATCTCAATGGCCTTTTTGCTGTACAAATTAAATTTTAATTTTGGATACCCAGGTAAGAAGTCATTGCTACGTATGTGGTTTCATTTGACTGTCAGACAAATATGGTGTTTTAACCTGCTGGCACTGGGTCAAGGGGTTGGGGTGGCCCTCAGAGAGATATTAATACCTATTCCATCCTGTGTGACGACATCTGAGATCGTCCGGGAGGGGCGGAGGATGATCAGATAATGAAACCTCTGGCCATCCCTCCGTCAACGAGCAATCCTTTGCACCTTTCACGCAGTTGCAATAAAGTCAAGGGCAGCAAGGGATTTCTGGCCAAACTTCCTGGAGCACAAACAGGCCCAAAGAAAGCTAAACTAGTGGGGAAGAGTCAGGCAAGTGATAAAAGACCCTGAGTAGACTCAAGACTCCCTAAAAAAACAAAAACTTAAGAGCCTGCGATGTCCTATAGTGAGGCAAGAAGGTGAGCGTGCGGATTTTATTGCGGTTGAATATTGGGACCTTCCATGAAGACCCATGGTGCTGGTGTTCATCCAGGACCAGAACGGGGAGGAGCATGAGGAGGAGCCTATCGTCCAACGACTAGGGAGGTTAAACCCTGGCCTAAGAGTGGGATGTTGGCACCTCAGCTGTAAAATACGGGCGCGCTAGGGAGTCGTTCGCCATAAACGACGGCTCATTCAGGATACTGTTGAGTAATTGTCTCCGGGCCTTCAAGTGTTCGGGGAGGACTTGATGGAGATGATCAGAGTTCTTCAGGCTAACCTCCAGCACAGGAAAGCTGCCACTCGTGAAAGCTCATCAGATTGGTTTTGGTACCTAATCCTAGGAAAACAGGACAGCGAGATGCAAAATCACTTAGACCTAAAAAAATCTGCTAAATATATACGGGATGGTGCTCTGGTAAACAGTCCTCTGTATTCGGACCAGGATGTCTGTATAGCAGGCAAATCGACAGAAGCTGCACTACATCAGCTTAGTGGCTCAAGTCATCCGAGGGTGCCCGCAGGCGGTGATCTGTACCCATTACTGCGGAACCTGGTAGTGGAGTTAATAAGGGAACTAGATCAAGACGGGACAGAACTCTAGTACATGTGGAAGGTGCCAAAAAGCACAATAAGGAACCAAGTCAAAAATCGGCAAGTCAGGGCTTCGTGTCACCTCCGCTCGATATCACTTTTCTAGGGAGCATTTCTTGTACGACGTCCATGCTCACGATGTTCGTGTGACAGGTGGCGCCGTCCTCTTGAAACCTCTCTCTCAGCATCCAAACAGAACGTTTTGAATTAACAGTTATAGATTGCCCGCGACCAATCTAAAAAAGTAGGGTCCAATCAAGTGGAGTGGTTTTTGATACTCCAGCGACGGCTGCTCCACACTCCCGTGTCGACAGTTTTGCTTGTTCACAAAACCGTTCAAATGAAAGCCTCGTCTGAAAAGTGAATGCTTCCCACTTCACAAAACCGCTCAAGTTCTAACACTGAAAATTGGAATCTCTTTGTAGGGCCAGTGTCCTTTAATTCTTGGACGATTTGAATCTTATATGGATAAAGTTTCAAGTAACGCTTTAACATTCGTCTCAAACTCGTACGAGCAATACTCATCGTCGCTGAACGTCTACGCGTTGACAGCTCTGGATCGACTCGAACAGATTGATTCACTCACTTCCTCCATTCTTTGATCCGTTCGTACTGTCCGCGGGCGACCTTGATGTCTTGTTGGCAAAGTCGAACCGGTTTCTTGACACCTCCTGAACCACTGCTTCATTAAATTAGTGCTAGGGCACTGATTAATACGGCGTAAACCATATTCGACTGGAAATAAACGTCGCAATAGTGAAAGCATCCTGTTGCCCTTGCAATCGAACGGTACCGCCCTCCAGCATTTCCGCCCGCGTTTTGCGGTTTTATTTGAAACACAAAAGTGAATTTTGTAAAACTTTGAAATCTTCAAAAATTATGAATAATTTAAAATATTCCATGTCACTGATCGCACTTACCAGGCACTCCTCGGGGATACCCCGATTAGTTAACTTTAACTCCCTTTTCGTATGTACATGAACGATAAAGGGGTATCGGTTACGTGGTGCATTCCGTGCCCGGCCTGACCTACGCAGGCCAGTTTCGTCACCTAAAAGAGGATGAAAAAAATCACTCAGAAAAAGCATGGTCAAAGGGAAAAGCTAGTAGGTGGCGCTAGTTTGATTGACAGATTGACCTCCAACCACATTAGCGCCACCTAGCGGGAGCAAAATTAGAGATGCTTGTGGAGGATTTTCATTAACCTGAATGTGGTTTTTAATTTAATTTTCTGATAGCAGCTAAAATGAAATATATGTATATTAAACTGCTAGATTCCTTGAAAATGGCAAACCACGTTCTATTGAACTGTAAGTAATTTATGTAGAAAAAGCATAATTGTAACAAACCTTTTACTTCTCGTAGGAAAGCATTGTAATACTAGGTAAATTTTTAATTGTGCTGTATTTTAAGCTGCTCGTGAAAAAGAAATATCAAACTGAAAATTTTCAACTGAAATCCGCTATTTTGATTTTATAAAATTTAAATACAGCCAGTGTCATTCGCACTGCCAGGATGAATCTAACAACACGTCATATGTTAAAATTCATCAAGTCGTTTAAGCTGTAGCTAGTAAAATTTTCGGATACATGGATACATACCCACGCGGGAAAAACATTACCATCCTTCTGAGACAGTCTTGTAATAAAGACAGACAAATTACTTATTTAAAACGCGCACTCCGGAGACCTCGCCTGTTTATTCGCGAATGCTTGGGAGTATGCAACAGGCGCAGTCCCGGTAACCGGCTTTCAACTGGTCATTTTCATTTTCAATGCCCGTACCTACTGTGACATTTGAATTTTTCCGTTATTGGTGTAGAGGACGTTAAGTGGATCAATGATGATTAGTAAAAAGGTGAAGTACAAGTCTCAAACATGAGATGCTTATAGAATGTGTTGATGGGCCATAACCACTGTTTTATTTTCCTTCTCCAATGAAATAACAAGAACTTTGTAAAGTCCTTTATTCAAACATATTTGGGCGCAATGAAGTATATATATATTGTACAGTGGGGATTTTGCATTCCGTAAGCAATATAATACAAAGTAGTTTATGAAAGCAAATTTGTTAATTTAGGTAACTAATAAAATGCTACTTAGATAGTTTGGCAAATTGGAGTATTTTTGGTGACAGAAAATACGAATTTACCTTGAACCGTTTATTTTCTCCTGGTTTACCGCACTGGTATTACGTATCTTGAAATATGACATTAGGTTGGTTTTCTTTGACATAACATAGGTTTTTCTACAAGATGTTAAGTTAACTTAGCACTAACTAGCTGGTGGCAACTTGTGAATTCGTTTTATAGTTGTACGGGTTGTAATGATTCATCAGTTACAGTGTTTGGCTGTGATGTGATATCTGCTTCAGAGATGACATTATTGGAGGTCTAAGCTGTAAGTTGTATACTAGAGCTGGAAGTAAACGGCAGTGCATAGGTGAGGATTTGTGTGCTAATAATCTGTGTTGAGATGTATTCGAATCTAGAAATTAGTTGCCAACCCATTTATTCTCATTCATTCTGGAGAATAAAAATGCAAATTTGCTCAGTTTCAAAAAATGAGAGAGATAAGAAAAGAAAATCCTTAGTTGGTGAAGTAACAGGTGAGAAAATATGCTATAGACAGGAATATTTATGAAAGTAAAAATGTTATTACATTATTTTTCATTTCCAATCTTTTAAATTTTCTAGAAATGTATGCGATGTCAATAGAAAAAACAAGTCAGCGCCTAGACGTGAGGCACTGCGAAAATGTTTGGTGTGTGATGCGTCATTCCTAATTTTTCTGTGATGTGGTTAAATTTCACATAACGCGGGTGCGGTGGCAATTTCCCGTAATGCGCCTCAAAGTTTTTGAAAACAAAAAAGAAAAAACGGGAAAAATCGTCATTTATAACTTTGTACCTAACCTGTCTTCAGAAAGAACAACATATAAATAACCCGTCGGGCACATCTAATAGATACACTTTATTGGCAGCATATTCGGTAATAATTTTCTTACATAGCAAATATCACTGATTTTATACACATGCAGTCAGACCAACACACATAATCATGCGGATGCGATCTTGTTACTCAACCAACTTGCTTTCTTTCACATCTTCTCAGAGATAAACACTACACACTACTCGGCTTCACAAAACATAATATACTTGGTGACAGCAATCATAGCGAGCAAACGTGGAATGAACTACTCGAAGACTAAAAACTACCTAATATGCAAGATGACATTTTGTCGGTTTCTTTTTTGTCATTTTTTACAAAACAACCGTGCCGGTCTGGTTCGTGTGACAATACATAATGAATAAAGAAATGTAGCTTACTATTCATTTATTTACGATTCCACTTCTGTGAGGCTTTGATTTTTTCAAATAAATTTTGCCTTGTTTCCAGTGGGCCCGTTCTTTCGGGTGCCTCAGTTTTTGAAAATTGAAGGAACAATATTCTCTTTCAATTTGGATATTTTAAGGGTATATTATTTTGGATTGTACCATCCGTTAAATCGACATTTTCTGTCTTCATCATGTCTGATTCTCTAAAATGCCGACTGCTCACAGCTGAATATTTTGAAGGCATACAACTTTTTCCTGAATATAGCTACTAGGCACCTGATTTTTAGATTCATCTTAAGTTTTAACGGCAAATGTACGAAGCAATCTATGATGTGTGAAATATGTCTAGGTGCGTAGCATAACCGGGGTTTGTAGCACATAAATATACCAACAACAAAGAATTCAGATATACCCTTGTTCACCTCATACGACTCACAAGTTTTAATCCCATTTTTTTTTTGAAAATATTCAGAAGCTTCAGAAAGGTAAAAAGAGGAAGTTTGGGCAATTTTTATTTTCGTGTTTTTGTCCCTAGCTCCACCGCCACTGGACCGATTTTCAAAATCTATAAAGCTTTTTTGTTATTGCCACAGTAGTAACCTTGTCTGAAAATTTCATCCAAATCCGAGCAGTACGTTCCAAGTTATAGTCGAATTAAGGATTATCGGACAGACGAACATGAGTGACACGGTTTTTCGTGATGTACATGTTATGCAGGGTGATTGGAACTTCGACCTATTCCCTGGGAGTGGTGATTCTAGAGGTCATTTGTGATAAATTAATTCCCATCAACTGGGGGGTCGGAAATGAGCGGTTTCCGAGATATGGGCATTTCAAGATTTTTTACGCATTTTCTGCTTACTGATCAATACATTTATTTTTAAATCTACTCATTTCTTGGAACTGAATTGACGGTTTTCTGAAAGCTGTGAAACTAGCAAATAATTGAGATAAGAACGCTATACCAAAAGTTTGAAACTGTTAGAAATAAAAGGCTGTTAGTGAAGAGATTTTGATTTTTGTTTATTATTTCCGAAAATCATCATAAGTTATTTGAAATAAAATGTATGACATTCGGCATATATATTACTAGAATAATTGCAGAATTTCATTAGCTTTCCAAAACCATACAAATCTTATTAACTATTTCAAGCATTTCAAAACAGCAGCCATTTTAGACTTTTCGAGCAGACCCCACTGTGCAAACTAGACAAGTGGCACGGCAACTTGGCATATCCCATTGGAGATCCTGGTTTATTGCTCATACAGCGCAACTTTATCCATACCATTACATTCCAGTGCACGCTATGGAGGAGGACAACCCTACATGAAGGATTGACTTTTGTAGATTCTTAATTCATGCCAATATTGAAAACCCAGACTACCTCAAAAATATCCTTAGAACTGATTCGATCGTGATGGTATTACAAATTACTACAATGCCCACTATTGGGCCCCTACGCGCAAAATCCAAAACAATTCAAGGAAGGCAAGCACCAAAGAAGATGCTCGTTAAACGTTTGGATGGGAATTATACATAATAAATTGATTGGACCTTTTTTTTGCCCGACAATTTAAATGGCACCACATATGAAAACTTTTTAAGAAATTAAGTAGATGCATCAGTACACGATGTTCGGCTAGCTATGAGAATCAATATGATATACCAGCAAGATGGCTGCCGAGCCCATTTTTTCGAGGTGCACGAGAAAGGCTGGATGAGAAGTATCCGCAGAGATGGATCGGTCGAGTACGTGCTTGCATATGTAACAATGACAGGCAATTTGAACAAGATTTATAGTGTTTAAGTACCAACGTTGTGTTTGTTTCATTAATTCTTTATACAGTACCTGTTTTTCTTTAATTAATTAGATTTCAAACCGAGCTCATTTAATTTAAAAATTTAGTTGTACCTATACGGTACGGTACGTTTTTTTTAGGATATGCCTGAAAAAGTTAAATTTGTACTGTCTTTGAAAGCTCATGAAATTCTGTAATTATTTTTGTAATTTGTACGCCGACTGTCATACATTTTATTTTAAATAACTTATGTTGATTTTCGGAAATAACAAACAAAAATGTAAATCTCTTCATTAACAGCCTTTTATTTCTAACAGTTTCAAACTTTCGGTATAGCATTTTTATCTCAATTATTTGCTAGTCTCACAGCTATCAGAAAACCATCAATTCAGTTCCAAGAAATGAGTAGATTTAAAAAATATATATATTGATCAGTAAGCAGAAAATTCTTAATAAATCTTGAAATGGCGATATCTCGGAAACCGCTCATTTCCGACACCCAGTTGATGGGGATTAATTTATCGCAAATAACCTCTAGAATCACCAATTTCAGGGAATAGGTCCAATTTCCAATCACCCTGTATAACATCAAAAAAACATATCTCGTTTGCGAAATTTTTCGCAATCACAATACTTCCCCAACTCTAGGCGTGCGAAGTAAAAGGTGATTTCCGTTTAAAAAGTTGTCTTTCTGGATTTTTAGGAATCTTTCATTCTCATTTTCATGACCAACCTGTACTACTTTATATCTAAATGCAGAATGAAATCTATTAAAGGAGTTTGAATAAAAGCAATTTCTTTTTTTAAACCCAATATCCAAATATATTTTTAAATCAAAATAAAATAATTCACTAGAACTAGGTAAAAAGTTATACCTGTATCTATTCTAATTCATTCACGATTCAAGACAATATAATTAAACAGTTTTACTGAGGGCAGGTACTCATTTTAATACACAAATTTTATATAAATTGGTGTAATCAATAGTTTAATTTTAATTAAACAAGTTTTATAGAAGCAGGTAAACTGTCAAGTTTTCAAACTCGTGTAGGTGAGATTTTACTTAAATCTGTTCAACTTTTTTCTCACTGCACGATTAAAAATGCAATATCACTAGATTTATAATTAATATAGTACGACAAGATACTTACCACCTAAGGGCCGCTCTAGGAGAGTTTTCGCTCTTTTTGGCGCTTCAGGGGATACCTGGACTGGAATCTGAAAATGTTGAAATATAAACTGTTTCGATTTTTTTTTTTTTTTTTTGAGAAAAAGTACGTTTTGTGCGTTTGGCGAAAATTCACTACATACCTACTTCAAAACAGATATGGTATCAAACGTTGGTGTTCTTTTAAAAGGACCTATCCAAATATGTAATGAAAAGTAGTTCTATTGAAGAAATCAGTTTTGATATGTGGATCAAAATTGAGATACCATATATAATTGTGAATAGAAATGTGCCTCAGATATTATGAATCATAAACCATGAACAGTTTTCTTTAACAAAAATTGTGTGGAAGCAATATTCCGTCCCCACACAGCTAGGAGTATATGTTATATGAAAATGAGCAGGAGTTTCTCAAACATGAAAAAACGAAGGAATGATTTTTACTTTTATTATATATTATAAAGCTTTTTTCATCCTTAACATATCAGTAGATCTTAAAACATAGACCTTACATGATAGGAATACAATCCCTTCAAGTCTGAATTATTTTTTTAAGCAATGCATATAATCACAAATATTACTGAAGGGGATACAATTAATTTCGAATCATATTTAATGAAATCATATTTGTCTTTAATATGTTAACTCTGACAGATCTTATTCTCGAAACTTCGTAATACTAATAATTCAGATATCTAAAATTTGCGAAATATGCAAAAATGAAAATTGTAGCGTTCAGCAAACATTAATGCGCTGAGTACTACAACAAAACATATTTTGTTGAAATAGATACATATATTTTTAAGATTTTCTTGTTACGTTCAGATTACCATCGAGTAGATTGTGCGTAATTTTTCTGCAGTGATACAATTTTTTGAATTTCTCAGTTTCAACACAGTTGCACTGGTTCAGTTTCGCTAAATATTTTTTATTCATATTTATGATACTTCTATTCCCAGAAAATATACTTTTTCAATTCTTAAGAGTAGCTGCAGTGCAGCTGTATATTGGATTTAAAATGACGTCGTCACATTGCTTATTACGTTTGTCTTATCAAACCCTTTCATTTGATATCCATATCATAGGGTTGGTTGGCTTTGCAATTCTTGTTGAACAATATTTATATGGATGATATCTGCTGCAGATCTACATCCTCAGAAAGTGATCTGATTCCTCAGAAAGACCTCATTTCCCTACTCGAGTTAGGCGGCTTCGACCTCAGAAAATGGGCGACAAATAATCTTAAGCTGATTTCCCACTGTGATCCAACAGATTGTCAAATTCCCGTGACGTTTGAGAATGATGAATCAACTTCCTTTAAAGTTTTGGGACTAGAGTGGCATCCTTCCTCCGATACCTTCGCTCATTTTCAAGTTCTCCTTCCAACAAACCTTGCACCAAACGGAATATTCTATCCGAGATATCAAAAATCTGGGATCCGCTAGGTTTTATATTACCAGTTTCATTTTTTGCCAAAGTAATAATGCAACAGCTCAAGTTGGAACTAAATCCCTTGAGATTCTAGTGTAAACCTTTGGACTTAATTTCGTAATCAACTAATTACTATTTGTGACGCTTCAGAGCGTGCAATTCCTAACCATCCTTCGTCATAGATGAAATTTTTGCATTTTCTGATTCACAAGTTGCACTACATTGGATCAGATCCTCCCCACATAATTGGAACACCTTTGTAGTAAGTCGTGTTAGCCATATACAAGAAGTTATTTCGCTTGTACGGTGGTATCTTATACCGTCTCTCGAGAACCCTGCAGGTTAGCAGGGGATTAATGCCAATAAATCTTGTCAATCACCCCCTTTGGTTCTAGATAACCTTGCCTACTACCAAACGGGAAATCAAAAGATTTATCGATGAAAGTTCTGATGTCCAGATTAGATTATTTTACAGCCTAAATTCAAACAAAAGAATTTTTCTATCGAATCGAATACTATTCACAAAATTATTTGTCGTCTTATTCAAGTAATTCGTGTCAAAACGATACGATAAGATCAGATTTTTTCAGCCTTCGAAATACAAAGAACTTTATTCTGATGAAAATATTCCACAAATGCTATTTTTCAGATGTAATTTCGAAAATCAAAACCAATGAATTATTGCCTAAGCATTCCCTACACCTCATTTACCATATTTTTGAACCTCTCAATTAAAATGCTTCTCACACGTATGTTTAGACAATTCAGGTCCAATAAAAACCTCTGTAGGGCAGCGGCGTCTTGGTGCGCCAGTCTCAAAATCATACATAGCCGACTTTGATGATTCTTATCTTAAAGCAATTCATATCGAACTTGTTTATAGTTTAACCACAGAAGCTCGTATTGCTGTGTTAAGACGTTTTGTAGCCAGATGGGGCACTTGTGTGCTTTACAATCTCTCCAAGTCTGCGGCCGAAACCTTAAAAATCAAATGAAATTTAAATAGTCCAGGAGCTCCCCATCCTAACGGTTTAGCCGAAGCTGTAGTTAATTCCATTGAAACCCATTTATATCGAGTCATCGGAGACCAAATACCAACCTTCGAAGAACTATACACCCTTCTAACTCGCATAGAAACATTACTGAATTCTCGCCCCTTTATGTTCAATGTTCAGACCCCAAGAATTTAGCTCCATTAACTCCAGGGCATTTCTTAACCACATAACCTTTAAATTCATGTCCAGATCCTGATTTATACTCCCGTAAACAAATTTCTCTTAGTAGTTGGCACCTCATTCAGAGATTAAATTCAGATTTCTGGAAACGTTGAAACTTGTAAGTGGAACTACCCATAAACGGAAATTAAGTTAGGTGCTTTAGTATAATAATCAATGACGAGTCCACACGTCTCCACTGCGTTGGTTGCTGGGACGCGTTATGGAAGTTCATCCTGGTCGTGGTGTCAATCAACGGTTGTTACACTAAAAAACCATCATGGGCTTCTCACGCGTTCGGCAGGTAAAGCTTTGCCCTTTACCCATAGTGAATAATAATAGTTAATCATATAATATAATTCTCCTTAATACTTTTGTCTACGTGTTTTCGATTTGTCTTTTGCTACTGAGTTATCAATTCAATTCAATCCTATTCTTTCTTTTACTCGCATACATTTTTATATCTAATCATTCACTTAATTCAAATCATATAAGTATTTTCGATAACTTCATGTCAAAACTTTTATATTATGTTTTGTATATAGTCAAATCAATTCAATCATTCATTTAATTCAAATCCCATATTTTCGATACTATGTTGTCAAAACTCTTAGATCATATCTCGTATTGAATCAAAGTAGCCGGCAACATACGTATGAGAAAAGTGGTTTCGGTAATTTCACCTAGATGTGATGCATTTCGAAAATGTTTGATGTGTGATGCATCATTCCTAATTGTTCTGCGATGAGGCTTAATTGCACACAACGCGGGCGCGATGGCGATTTCCCGTAATGCTCCTCAAAGTTTCTGAAAAAACAAAATACGGGAAAAATCGTAATTTATAACTTTGAACATAACCTGTCTTCAGAAAGGTCAACACATAGATAACCCGTCGGGCACAGTTAATATATGACTTTGAAGTTGAGTCATTAATTTTCAGATAATGATTGTACATTAGAAGGAAGATAAACCAAAATATGTGTGTAAAAATAAAAAAAAAATAAAAAAAAATATTACCTTGTTTTATAAAGTATCCTCCCGACAAGTATTTCAGTGCAGACCTGTATTTGATCGTGAGGTCCCCTGTGAGGTCTTAAGTCACCTGATTCACGAGCCCGTTGTACTACATTAACAAAGGCACGAGGGGTTGGTTGCACTCGATTGGAAAACCGATCCGCATAAACATGTGCCATTTTTTATTTCGTTTGAGCCACGCAACAGACACCACTATTCACACGCGTTACCGACTAACACTGACTGTATGTATACAACTGAATGTATACAACTGAATAAAATAATTGTAAAAACATCGTTCCAAATTCTTTCGCTTTTTTGTTTCCGATGCGATGAACCGATAAGGCGGATTATATCCGTTGTTGCCAAACACGAGCACATGATATTATTATTGAGACAGGGCGGTACTCAAACTTCCAAAGGGCTATAACTTTGTTACTTTAATTTTACCAGAAAAATGGTAAAGGAAAAAAACATTTCTTTTGATCAGATCTACTCACTGTTAAAATAAATGACTCGAAACGTATACAGGGTTATCCAAATTAAGTGTCCACCATTAGTAACTTTGTTATTAGTGAAAATACAAAGTTGTTTGAATTAGCAAACTAGTAGCATTTTTAACGCTGGTAAAAATGAGAAATAAAAAAAAACAATTGAGAGTCGTTATTTTGATTTTTTTCAGTAAAATAACATTTTTTTAAATGGAAACCCCTGTATATTATATTTTTTTCTGTTAAAGCATCAAATTTTAAACAAAAAAGTTCATAATGACTTTTCCGCTAAAGTCAAAAATAAAGTCAAAATAACGATAAATATTTTTAATTATTTGCAGTATTATAATATTAAGACGGCTATGAAAACAACATGGCGTTCGCGATTTGACAGCATTAAGATAAGCGACAAATTGTTAAACTGGACATACTCGCAACTAGAAGGCTTTGGAAAACAATGATAAAATCAAATAATGTCAAACACTAGTGTAAATACTTGTTTATAAGCTTTATTGTGTCATTAATTTAAAGAAAAATGTTCTCCTATGAAGAAAAGTGTGATATGTTAGAATGCTATTTAGTGTGCAGAAAATCCTCCTTGAGAGCAAGAGAATACTACAGTGAATTATATCCCGCTCGCATTCAACCGTATGAACGATATTTTCTGAGACTTTATCGAAAATTTAGGGGCAACGAAAATGTTTTTGCTAAAACAAGGGCAAAAAAAGAATTCATAATAAGCGAGGCCACGGAAATTGCAGTTATTGGATATTTTGAAGCTTATCGTGAGAATTCAATAGCAGATATTCTCAATTTCTCTAATTTCAGTTATGGTACTGTTCAAAGGATTTTAAAAAAATACAAATTTATTCCGTATAAGTACCGACCAGTTCAAACGCT